TATATATATATATATATATATATATATAGCCAAAACACTTTCCAATTTTTGCTAAAATAATAGAAAACATAAAAAAACATATTCCAGGTAAAATCTTTATTTTTTGAAAACTTTTGAATTTTCTTTTAATGTCCCGACTTGGACAACCAACTCTAACTCGGTCGATTTTTCGATCAACTTCCCGAGTTTCCTATAATATTTCGAGTTTGACTTAGAATTATGGTCGACTACGGCTCTTAAAGGCATGGATCGATTGGTCAACCTTCTTTTATGGCCTCTTTGGGACTTATGCTCTCCTATCCATTAAAAAGTCACCTCAGCCCCACCAACACCAAGGCCAAACATCTTGGCTCCTTGCTGTTAACGAAACTTATAAAAAAACCAAAACAAACACCCCATATGATACCCAAAAATGCCAAAAAAAAGGTCCCATTTATTAATTATTCTGTCCAATCCCACCTGATTTCATGATCTACTATCATGACTAAGAAAAACTGGATAGGGTTGCAGCTCTATAAAAAAAACTAAAGCCTCACCACATAACTCATCAAAAATTGCAATTTGAGCATTAGAAAATCTTTGCATCGATTATCTTGACATCAACATTATGGTTGTGAAAAAAAAAAGTAAAGCTCTACAAAATGGTGTATATTATAACAAATGATCAAGATCATCCATTTTGCCCTAAAAACAAGTGTTAATACATCCATAAAAATTGTATCATTTTTTGAGTTTGGAATTCCATTGTCAGTATTGGAAAGTGATTTTAGAGCCATCATGGAGATTTCTATTGTCAAAAATATTTTTTGGACGAAGATTTGAGGTGAGGCTTTATTCTGTTTTCATAAAACGTAGGCCTTATAGAAACCTCATCCTATATTGACTTGGTATTTACAAGATCAAAGTTAAGGCTGGGATTTGATGGTCACTCAAACCAGATAAGGTACCGGGTCCAAATGACTAATCCTAAAAGGATTCTTATGTAACTTTTAATTGAGACTCTACCGAGTCAGACTCAGGCTCAAGCTTCAGCCTTGGCAAGTTTTCAAACAGTACATTACAATGAGCCAGATATATGGGTCCATTTAGGGGTAGCCAAAGCTTGGCATGTACTACACCGAAGCTAGTGGCCATAGCCCTTTCTTGGTCGAGCAAGACCTACTAAACTTAAAAAAGAAAAGAATAGAAAAATAAGAAGAGAAAAAAAAAAAAAACCAAGACCAGGCCTTGTTGTGGCCTTGGCCTGACCTAGCCCTGTTGTCTTGGTCCGGCTCTCAGGCCACATTTGTCTTTCAGGCCCAGTTTTTCAGGGCTGGACCACCTCGCCAATTGCCAGCTTCATGGTGTAAATAACTGAAGATACAAGATGAGCTTTCCTTCCCTAGTTCATTGTCAAAAGAGTTTAGACACAAATGTGGAATATATATATATATATATATATAAAGGGCAAAATAATAATGAAAGAAAATATTTTCCACACTTTTTATAAAGGAATAAACCACGTTCCTATCCGAACTTAAAAAGATCATGGATCCCACCAAGTATCACCAAGATTTCCTTCATCTCAAAGTTGGGAAGATCCAACGGTTGTGGATGCTCGCCTACATAAACAAGCACAAACACAACCTTTCTATACATTCTCATCCATTAACATTAATATCGACTATACCCTTACTGAATTTCCCAAATACCACCCTCAATCCTTACTATTTCAATTCAAATTAAGGGTCAGGCCTAACTTCAAGAAGTTATAAAATTATGGGGCTTAGAATTTATCTGATTTGGATCCAAAATTTGAATTTTGGATCCTATTCAGATCTGGATATGGATCCAAACTTGAGATCTATATCCAAAATTTAGATTGAAATAGTAATTCAAATTAGATTTTGGTGCTGTTGGATTCAATCTTAGATTTTGGTACAGTTGGATTCGATTTGGATCCGGATTGGTTTTTAAAATAATATATATATATATATATAAAGAAAGAGAGAGAGAGAGAGAGAGAATCATGATCCTACGAGGCCCTCACACTACTGTGTGAGTAGGACTCTAAATAATCATCATCAACTTTTACATAGATCTCTAGAAAAGTCAAATCCCAAACCCATGTGATAATTTTTCTAGAGATCTGTACTAAATTTAATAGTGATCATTTGAAATCTTAATCCAGATCTTATGTACAATATTTGGATACGGATCAGATATAGATTCCTCCTATAGTTGTCAGATCCGAATCCAGATCCAATAAGATCCAGTTCTAAATCAAAATCCCATGTATGCTTTTCTGATCCGGGTTAGATCGATCTAAAAAAATCTCAAAAACCGTAAAGATTCAGTTCGATTTCCAAGTGGGCATTTCAATTGAAGATTGGGGTGTTCTAAGTCATACTTTAAACCAAACGGTTATGCGCCATTTTTTAATTTATCCTGGAGCTCTCTCCCTGTGTCTGGTATTACCAGTAGGGCTGGTGCTCTGAATTTATCAGGAGAGCTGGTTCTCTCTCTCATACCTCAGCTTCCATCACCTCACACTCAGACCACCATGACTCCCCTTAATATTCTCTTTCTCACTCCTCTTTCCTTTCTCTCTCTTTAAGACCTCTGCTTCCATCTCCTCTCACTCACACCACCATGAATCCCCTTAATCTCCCTCTCAAAATCCTCTTCCCCATTTTCTCTCTCCTCTTCCTTTTCCATTGCACAAACTCCTCTCAAATTCTCTCCGGCTTCTCTGCAACTCCTCAAAACTCACTTCAATCTGACTTCCAACCTCTCTTAACTGATATTTCAGGGAACTTCTCTCTAGGCTTCCTCAAAATCCAACAATTTTCCCTCTTGCTATGTATTATGCACCTTCCTGGTTCGATCACTGAGCCCATATGGTCAGCTAACTCGGACCACTTGGCTCGATGGAGCTCGACCCACCTCTCCTTTAATGACACTCTGGTCTTATCAGACAGTAGATCCAGTCCCATATGGTCCATTAATGGCGACGGGGACCGCGTTGTGTTATTAAGCACCGGAAATTTACAGCTACTGAGAGAAAGTGGAAATAAAGAGTCCCCATTTGTTGTTTGGCAGAGCTTTGATCACCCAACTGATACTTTGATGCAGGGCCAAAACTTCACAGCATCAATGAACTTGGTGTCTTCTCTCTCTATAACTGATACATCAAAGGGCAAGTATTCCATGAGATTAAATGAAGACTTTTTGGGTTTATATGCTGATTTCCATGGAAACAAAGAGCAACTCTATTGGTCAAGAAAAGCAACTCAAGAGAAAGCAAGAATCAAACCAGGTTTAGGCCCAATTTATGCTAGGCTTGAGCCAAGAGGATTTCTTGCTATGTATCAGACTGAAACTTCTCTGGTTGATGTTTTAGCCTTTGAAAGCTTTCAATTTGAAGCGGGTCTTAGAAAGCTTAGGCTTGAACCAGATGGAAATCTCAGAGCTTTTTATTGGAACAATTCCAAATGGGTTATTGATTTTGAGGCCATTACTGATCCCTGTCAGCTCCCAAGCTTCTGCGGACCTTATGGCCTCTGCAACAATGGTGGGTGCTCATGCTTAAATAACCAGACCCTTTACACTCCAGATTGGTGGTGTTACACGGGTCAGAGTGAAGATCTCTGCAATGGGTTAAATGGGTTTAGAGTTTTGAGGAGAGAGAAAGTGGAATTGCCATTTAAGCAGTTGATGGATCAGGGAACAGTGGGTTCACTGGAAGAATGTGAGGATTCATGTGAGAGAAATTGCAGTTGTTGGGGTGCTATGTATAATAACATTTCAAGGGTTTGTTATAGCGTGATGTACCCTGTTCAGACATTGGTGGAGGTGGGGAGTGAAGGGAGGTTTGGCTATGTGAAAGTGGGTCTAGAGAGAGAAAGAGGAGAGAGAAATAGGGTTGCAGAGGTGGTTTTGTTGGTTGTGGCTTGTGTTGTTTTGGTGGGGGTAGGGGCTTTTGGGGTGTGGAGTTGGTGGCATAGGAAGAAGCAGGCTGGGTTTGATGGCTTGTTGCAAGAGGGATTGGCTCCTGGTTCTTATAGGGATCTCAAAGCGGTGTCCGGTTCTGTGGAGCTGTGCAATAGGTGAGAGGTAAGGCTTGGGCAAACAGAATCTCTCTCTCTCTCTGAATAGTAGACTCTCTCTCTCATGCTCATTTTGAGTCAAGTTAGGGTAATTTAGATTTAAATTTGCTATATAATTATTTTCTGTGATGGGTAAGCCTCAAAAACTAGCTCTAGTTTCTAACAGGGTTGAGCTATGGCGATAAATCCTAAAATTGTTTCCTGATACAAAAGGCCACTGCTGGTTCTAGCGCTACAACTATTAGTATCATTACCGTGACTGCTGTTTTTAATCGTAGTATTAGAGTATCATTACTGGTTCTGCTATTTTTAAAACTTTCACATAATACTGTCACAGTATTATTACTCTTTGCTAGCTGCTACTACAAGTGCTGTTATTGCTGCTTTTATTGTCGGTATGATATTATTATTGGCCCATATAATTTCACAGTATTTTTCTGAGTCCCTCAAACTTGGCAACGCATTCCGCAAAACTGCAACTTCATACATTTGTACATCAAAGCCTGACCAAATAACCTGTACCAGAAAACTTGCAAATTGGTCATTTCCAATTTGGTCACAGACCTAAATAAATGAAAAATATTTTTAGCCCCGTAAATATGTCCATACGGCAACAGCTAAACCATCCATTTCAAGTGTTTATAGATGCGATCGATACGAATTCCCCAGTCAAAGCCATTAATGGACTTCCAAGTTCTCTCAAAGTTTTCCAACATCGGATCTGTTGAGGCGCAGCCTTATTATGTTTTCGAAATCAACGGCCTTACCAAAACTTCATCCTTGAAGTAATTTGATTGTTTTGGTAACTCGAATGGAAAAAGAATAACAAATTGATTTAGACTTTATTTGTGATTCAAATAGCCCAAAAAAGGATTTTATTTGTGACTGTTTTCTTTTCCATTTAGGTAAACTAAGAACCCAAGATAAAGGCCCAGGATCTCAGCATGGACAGACGATTCCAAGAGATGCTTATTCAAAATTATCTGAAAATTTTGCTTGAGAAAAGCAATTGTATCCAAGAGATCAGAGCCATCCATTTGAAGACGCAAGAGATCCGGTACGACCATGCATTCAAGAAGGTTTGCTTTTATTTTGGACACAGGAGTTTACCTTTGTGCTTGACCACTTGGTTGAAGGTCTATATCTTTGCATGGCCTGTTTTTTTTTTTTTTTGTGTTCATTTTAAGATTTCTCTATTTGCTTTGTACCAATTTTTGTTAAATATATTTCAAACATGAAAAAAAGAAAAAGAAAAAAACAAAAGAATAAATATGTTACATATACAAAGACAGATGCGTGTGGGATGAATACTTGTATCGACCTTAGTATCAAAATTGCCTTTGAGACAATAGGGAAGTACGATTTTTATTTTGGTAAATCAGCCGGTAAATGGTCCCCCTCTGTTTTCATTAAAAAAAGTTAATACAATTTACAATGGGTGTACCCAAGGTTTTAAAGCCCAGTGATCCGGATGAAAATGGGACTGGTGCCCAATCGGAACTGAGAATCATTTTGGTACCTATGGTCAGGAAACAGTTCCCCCATATTTCATTTTTTAAACTTTTTAAAATTTTTATCTTTAAAATTTTTATGTTTTATTGACCAAATTGGATCGCCATATCAGGTATTTGCCGATTCGAAACGGTTTCCACGTGCCCGGTTCACCCGACCAATGCAGGTTTCAAAACTTAATGGGGAATGTTTGATGCATCTGATCAAGGAACCATAGCAATGAAATGTGGTAGTCTCATGCGTCACGCTGTAGGCTCAAATGACTTAGCAACATTGCTTAGCTACTGAATAGGCAAGAAGTCCGAGTGGAACCCCCAAAGCACATGTCAAAAACCATGTTTAAAAATCTAGATCGATGGGGTGGGTCATTAAACTCACATATTTATGTCGTATCGCTAGATCGACAATCCAGATAGGTTAGAATTTACCAAAATTGCTGATCCAAAACCTATAAATAAATAAATAAAAATAAAATAAAAACTAAAATAAGGATTTATGGGGTGGGGATTTAGGGAGAAGCTAAAACAACATTAGATAAACTGAAAAAATTTATATACAGTGGCAGTTTTAAGGGGAAACGTCATAGGGACCCATTCCGTCTTAGAACCTGTTCGGTTCTGACCAATTCCCTGTCTGGATTGACAATCCAAATCGGGAAACCCCAGGTTTTAAAACACTGCCAAAAACTATATACATGTAGCCATATAAGATATATTACATGTAGTAAGGAGCTGCCAATTTCTTTTCAAGTAAGACCTATGAATTAAGAAGGTAAAGAATGCTAGTTAGTAGCTCTCGATTTTGAGAGTTTGATGGCATCATGTGAATCAGTTATGTTCAACTACTGCAGATACTAACTGGTTTTAATATCCCTATCACCAAGAAAATGACATTGACTTCTCAATAACTTGTAAATTTACTCAAATTTTTAATGACCGTGACTTCTGCATACCTAAAGCTTTACCCCTTGTTTATTTTTGGGTAAGTAGCATAATCCCTTCTTTAATGAACCATGACTTGTCCACACCTAAAAGGTTGAAATCTCTCTCTCTCTCTCTCTCTTAAAATATGAAATCATCTAAAGAACAGTTCATGTATTTAAAACATATCAACATCCTACAAGAAACCCGGAACGTTGAACACAAATCCAAATCCATGACTCTTTTATCTCTCTTTGGGAAATGATATCATCTCACCATGCCATTATGCAGAAAAACATGATTGTAGTATTTATATGACTTAAAATTTTATGCACACGCTTTCCTCATGTAAATAACCAATCTCAAAAAAGAAAGGAATTTTAATTTGCATATATATGGTCAAAATGAGTCATCTCCAACAATAATTCTAGACCGTCCATGTCACACCCCAAGAATTTACAATACAGATATTCTTGAGATGTGACAGTCCAAAACATATATACAACTCTTGATAGGATAAATTTACAGTGGCGAGGTCTTACAAAGTAAATAAAGAAAGCTAGCACAACAACAATATCTTCCAAGGTCGATCTTAACTAGCACTCAAAATGAATTCGCAGTTATCCTGAAAAAATGTTTACCATAGTTTGATGAGTTTGGCTACTCAGTAAGTGATCATCATAATCCTAAAAATAATCATGGTTGGAAAATATCAATATTTTCCAAAAAGAGATATATTAACAGAAATGCATCAACAGTTTCACTTTCAATAAATACATAATTAAGTATAATCCGAATAATTGAAATGCATATAACACTTTAACGATAGTGCATAATTCAAAAGATTTCACAAAATACCCTATTGGCGTCCCAAATAGGTCACCTATATACCCCATCAGCGTCCTGATGGGTCCACTTAATCCCTATTGGCGTCCCAGATAGGTCCACTTAATCCCTGCAGGTCCACTTATACCTCACCGGCGTACCGGATGAGTCCACTTAATCCCTACCGGCGTCCCGGATAGGTCCACTTATACCTCGTCCGCGAACTGGATGAATCCACTTGTATACTTAAATTATTTTTAAATCTCTTTAAACATTCGAAAGCAGCAATATCATGTACTCAACATATCACTGAAATCATTAATATGAATC